GGATCATGACCTGAGCCGAAGGCAGACGCCCAACGACTGAGCCACCCAGGTGCCCCTAGTTGGGAAACTTTACACACGAGGTCCTCTACTAAATAATACGACTGATTTTATGTGGCTTGAAACCAAGTGTGAAAGCAGCTCTGGGTCTTGAAACAGTTTGAGCAATGAAAACCTTAGGAGGAAATGGCATAACTTCTTGGAAGGATAAAGCTTCTTTGGAAGTATAGGTTCATATGTGTGTGTTTAAAAATAGTCTCGTTTAGGGGCACCTGGGTGGCTCAGTTGTTAAGCGTCTGCCTTCAGCTCAGGTCATGATCCCAGGGTCCTAGGATCAAGCCCCGCATCGGACTCCCTGCTCGGCAGGAAGCCTGCTTCTCCCTCTCCCACTCCCCCTGCTTGTATTCCCTCTCTCGCTGTGTCTCTCTCTGTTAAATAAATAAATAAAATCTTAAAAAAAAAAAAGTCTCGTTTACTCTGTAGCAGAGCTGGGCAAACTCTGCCCCATGGCCCAAATTAGCCCCAATACCTGTCTTTGTAAATAAAGTTTTATTGGGACACAGTCACACCCATTTGTTCACATATGGCTGCTTGTGGCTTCTTTTGAGCTACAGTGGCAGAGTTGAGCAGTCATGACAGACACCGTATGATCCGCAAAGTCTAAAAAAAAAATACTTATAGTCTGAACTCTCGGGGGGAACAGTTGACCCACCTCTGCTCTCTAGGCTTCTATCCTCTAGCAAGGTTAAATCTTAACTGCACAAACCAGCGTGGTTAAAATGATCAGTCAGAGAGAAGAAGGGGAAAGCATGTGAAGCGTGAGTGGGGAAAGGTGGTGGTTTCATCGCTGCTGTGTTTCGCAGACTACACATTACAGAACTCAAGATGGCTTCGCTTGCCGTAACCAGGAGAGTCACCAACAAGGCTCAGCTACTTGACTGATCCACCCTAATCGGGCAGACCCATTGCTTCTGGTGTACTGTTGCTGGCTGTGTGCTCCATTTTGCTGTAGCTTTGTAAAAATGACGGTTCAGAGGAGGTGTTTTGCTTTGTTTTTCAGCATCTCGTATTTCTAGACCAGAGAGATGTGAACTCTAGAAAGGTAAACTTCATTTTATCTAATTAGCTAACAAGGTAATACTCACAGATGAACCATATAAGATTTAGATGGAGTATTCATGGTAAAATTATTGTAATAATATTTTATGGTTATTAGTCCATTTCTCAAATATATCTTTTTAAATCCTAATTTTAAAATGCTGGATTATTGAGCTGAAAATTTTTCTGTATTTAATCCAAAGTAAAGTTTCCTCTTGACCTCTCCCCTTGCAGGCTGTGGCCCACTGCCTGCTTAAAAGCCCTTGGCTGGCATTCGAGAGTCCCAAGTTCTCGTCCTGCTTCCTGGACTATGTGAATTAAGTTTTTCCACGGCAATTGCTTCCTCCATAAGATAGGAGGCTGTGGACTAGATCCCAGTGATTCCCCAAACAAGGATGAGCAGTGGACTCCTCCCCTGGGGAAGGTCTCTTTACAAATGTCTGTTTCTAGCATTTTCCCCCAAACTCTCCTGCTGCTCTAGCAGTTTCTAGAGGGCTCCCAAGTATGGGGCTACTCAGCCAGGTTGGAAGGCCCTGGCTCAGATAAACTCTTACGAGCCCTCCTGATTCTGGCTTTGAGAGATCATTGTTTTAAAATCGGTGATGATGAATAAACGTCTATTAGTGATAGTCCTCTCTCCGGACGTTTGGGCCAGCGAAGAGGTATTCACTGTTGTTACTAGCATGCTGCTGCTGAAGATGATGATATTCTACCTGAAGTGGAGGCCTCCTTTATGGCTGACGAGCTGCATTCATGTCGAATCTACGTTAACCCTCTTAGCAATTCCGTGAAGTCAGCCAGGAATTAGTGTCCCTAATTATGAGTGACTCTGGGTCTCAGAGTTTAAGGGACTTTCCCCAGACTAACACTGCAAGGCTAAGATTTGAACTCAGGTTTCCTGACTCCAAATCCAGTTCTCTTGATTACACACATTCACACAAATGGCAGAAGGAAGTGAAGCCATGTGGGCAGAGGACACAGTGGGCTGAAGGGGGAAAGAACTGAAGAGGGTCATTTATAAAATCACACAGGCTGAAGTTCAAAAGACCTGGCCCCATGTTAAGAACTGGACTCTGGTTTATCCCCTAGTGGATCCAGGTGGGATTCAAGTCTAAACATACAAACTTGGCTCAGAGGCAAGAGAGGAGGCTAGCATGCATTGCAGGGTCTACACCTGAGAGTTAGGGCCTCCTTAAATGCTGGGCCCCAGGTGCCCCAGGTGCCTCACTGGCCTCAACCTAGTCCTGGCCCCGATCAGAGGCAAAAAGCTCATGCTTGTGCTTCTGGCCCCCTAATTCCTGATGTCCCCTCACAGAGCAGACTGGGGCCTCATTCAGGTTTCATGGAGGAAGCAATAGGCCCACTGGCATCCACCAGAGCATGATTTTTTATTGTTAAAGATAGAGAAGTCCTGTATTGGTGGATGCCACCTGCACCTGCCTGGGGTCCAGTCTCCTGAGCTGGTCAGTCCAGGCAGGTCACTTAACCTCTCTGGGCCTTATCTGAACAATTGAAAGTAACACAGCACCAGCACCCTGAGAGGAGAAGAGAGGGTCTCAGCTCAGCATTTGTAAAAGGAGGGGGCGGGGGAGAGTAAGAGCCTGTAACTCTCCTTGAGGACCAGCACAAAGCACATCTGTGGAGTTGTTTTAAGTCCAAATTTACTACCTATGTGTGTGTTATGGTTAATTACCAACCGTTAGGCAGCGGAAGGGCCACTTAAAGGAGGGTTAGCAGCTCTGAAAGTAAAACTCCTGTCAAAGAGCCAGTGTTTGTTCTCAAGTAATTGCTTCTGACTCAGATGTGTGGGGATGTTTTGCTTGTGAGTTTTTCATTTCCTAACAGACAGAATCACACATTTGAAAGCTCATGTTAATGAATAGTATTGGCAAATTGCCAATTACAAGTAAGCAGACATGGAAATTGTCCTATGTGTCTTTGTTAATGACTTTTTGAAAAACTACCAGGAACTGGCCAGAGAAGAAACGAGTAACACACATGCAGAGGCAATATTTTTGCAAACTGTTGTTGACGAATGACGCAAAAGGAAATGATCTCTCTGAAAAGAAGCTAATAGTTTTGTGTTTTGTTTTTTTTAAGTTTTTAGAAGCTAATCGTTTTTAAATAGGTATTTACAGCACTGTTGTATTTCTCCACCAGGGATTGGGTCTCCAGCCCTGAAACACCCCGTTCACCCACTCAGATGTCCAGAACAAAGTCTCATTAGGTGCACAAATACCACGCAGGTCTAGGAAAGTGAAGGAGTTAATGCTTGACCTGTAACCAGTTCTCCTGGGGAGGGGCCTTAAGCTTGAATAGGAATTTATGGCATTTAAAATATTTCTTCTTGAAGGGTTTTCCATTTGGAAAATGGAAAATTTTCCTGTGTGTACCTGGCTAAGTGACTTGTTGGAACAATCCCTCCACTAATGAGTAGAGGTCAGTCATTCCATTTTACTGTCTGGTTGCTGGTAGAAGCAGTGCGTTCTCCCTTCTCAAAATGAGGCATGTTTATTTGTTTGGACTATATCCAGCTGGCTGGCTTGGTTAATAAGACTGCATTTCAGACATTCTGGCTAGTGCTCCTCAAAGAAATGGATTGGCACCCGGGGGCAGCGAGCAGAAGGAGTAAGGAAAAGAAATTAAATTGCTGGAATAACCTTGAGGGCAATGTCTTTCTGTCTCCAGGCGCCCGTTTCCACCCGGAGACCGAGTCACGTTCAATGGGAGAGACTGCCTTTGCCAACTGTGTTCACAGCCAATGTCGTCCAGCCCTAAAGAAGCCGCCTGCTCCAGCAGTAAGTGCCCCAGCCACCCGTTGACATGAGTTCCTCGTAGCTCAAAGGTCGCTTAGGCAAGTGCCTTCCTTCCTGTGAAGCTGTTAGCTAATGCTGAGCATAGTCGCATCTAAGGCGTTTGCGATTGTAAAGCCTGAAGCCTTCGCTAAAACCTGTGCAGTGAGAAGCATCTCCCTGCTGTCAAAAAGGCGTAAATAGGATTGGACATCAAACTGTGCATTTTGAGAGTAAATGAAGGAAAAAGAATGATAAAACTTTCTGTGAGAAATGCCCATTCCCTCATCATGGTGGTTGAGATGTGCAGACATTTGGTGGTGAAGGGATTGATAGCTCTGTGTATTAAAAAAGCTGTCCCCACTGTGCCTAGGGCAAGTGCGGTGATTTATACTCACCCTTAATTCTTTATATCTGTTATCCTTAAATATTTATTCACTTGGAGGGTTTCTGACACTTATTTATTGAACAGATAGTTTGCTGAGCACCTACAATGTGTGACGTTGTTCCTACTGGAGATCCAGGCGTGAACAAAAAACTCAGCATCCCCAGGAAGCTTACTTTCTAGCAGGAACAGGCAGACCATAAATGCAGACACCAAAATATCTAATATTTAAATTAAAGTAGGAAGAAAATGCAGGGTAAAGGGACTGCATTTATAGGGGGCAATCAAGGGAGACCTCTCTCAAAAGGTGACACTTAAGGAGAATCTGAAGTGTGGGAACAAGATATATATATGCCAGGGGATTTGTCATTCTTTATGGGGAGGTCTTGTGTGACCTGTAGGAATCCAAAGAAAACTAACTTGCTCCCAAACCTTCCCCCTGCTAACTTCCCTCATAGTGTCAGCTGTACTGTTTCTCCTAGTAAATAACATTGGGTAAGTCAGTTACCTTTTAAGTGAGATGTATTCTGATCTCTGGCACCAAACAATGACACTCTACTTCCGTTTCCGCCCCGGGGGCATTAGGAAGTAGACCAGAGGTTTGCCTTGGTTTCTGTGGATTTTGCCAATCTTTGGGAGATCTGCAACAAATTCCATTAAGCTCCTCCAGTCTCTCAGTACATAAGAATGAAATAAGCCACTTCTGCTCTGGAGGAATTCTGTGCAAGCCATCACAGTGATTCCAAATCTTTTTGTTAAAGAAGAAGAATCCTTATACCTTTGTTCAAAAAGAATGTTCTGACCAAAGCATTTGCATAGAAATTGGATTTGACCTTTGGGAGGAAAGAATAAAATAGATGTATTAGTGCCTCTTATTCAACACGACCAGATCCTTAGCATGTGAATTTATATGCCCTGCTGATAAATGCTAGCAGCCTGAACAGGGCAAGAGCTACAACGTAAGGCCCAGTCCTAGACCCCTAGGAGGGTTTCAAGTGCTTCACCCTTCTTACCTACCCTGCCCCAAGCAGGTCACTTGGGAGGTGAGCTGGGGTGGGAATAGTCACCCCACTGTGTGGGAGGGCCTACTTCGAAAGTACATTACCAAAAACTTTGGAAGAGTTTTTCAATCTAGTTAAGAAAAAGAGGATTTTGTGAATCCCAGGAAAGAAGGATAGCTGCTAATAGGGGATCATGTCCAGAGGCCTATAATAGAAATGACTATGTCCTCAAATTCTGTAGAGTCCTTTAGTCCAACTGTCTTTTTTTTTTTTTTAAGATTTTATTTATTTGACAGAGAGAGACACAGCGAGAGAGGGAACACAAGCAGTGGGAGAGGGAGAAGCAGGCTCCCCGCCGAGCAGGGAGCCTGATGCGGGGCTCGATTCCAGGAACCTGGGATCGTGACCTGAGCTGAAGGCAGATGCTTAACTGAGCCACCCAGGCACCCCCACCCCCGCTTTGTTTTTTTAAGTAAACTTAAAGTTTACTTAAAAGTTAAAAGTTACTTAAGTTCCTCCCCCTCCCAACATGGGGCTTGAACTCACGACCCTGAGATCAAGAGTCACATGCTCTGCCGACAGAGCCAGCCCAGCACGCCATAACTTTCTTGATAGGTGAGGAATTTAGGGCCCACGGGCATACTCAAGGTCACAGAAGCTGTCCATTAATAAGGCAGGATTACAGGCAAGTCTTTGGAGTCCTGGTTTTGGGCTCTCTTTTGTTTCATCTCATACTCTTCATTGTTTGATTTAAGAAACAAACAAAACAGCAGACACTGTTTTGTGTGAATTCTCACACAAATTTAGGAAATAGCGGTGGATCTTTTTAAAGGCTTCCTGTCCTGCCACGCATGCAATTTGGGAACGGGTTTTCTCCTCACAGCGTTACCGAAATGATTATTCCAATTTTTATTAACCGTGTTTTTGCTTTCACTGTATTTTCCATTTTATATGACATACATGTTATGTACATAAGGAAAAAATAAAAATTGTAAGTGTAAAAATGTATCCTACCCAAATTCATGATACCTTTAATGCTATATGTAATAACAATTGCATGTGTGCACGTTGTTGGACCAAATCCTATTTTCTCCTTTGCTTTCAATGGATGAAATCTCTTTTCTATGCAACTGTTTTGGTCAGGACAGTTTTATTTTCAACAAGTACTTGTCTGTTTAGATCAGTACTCAACTAACATTTATGGGGCATGTGGGGTGTTAAAAAGGAGCTCTTATATATGATGCACACATGCAAAATGCCCAAGCTGGGCAGGCACACAAATACTAGAGCAAGGGAATTCTCAGCAAGTTGCTGAAATTCACTGGAGCATAATTAGAAAACACTTGGTTGTTATTTGTAATTCTGTGAGAATTGCCCTATACATGAAAACTATCCTGATGTGACTTTAATTCTTATTTTATTTTATTTTATTTTTTTTTTAAGATTTTATTTATTTATTTGAGAGAATGAAATAGAGAGAGCATGAGAGGGGGGAGGGTCAGAGGGAGAAGCAGACTCCCTGCTGAGCAAGGAGCCCGATGCGGGACTTGATCCTGGGACTCCAGGATCATGACCTGAGCCGAAGGCAGTCGCTTAACCAACTGAGCCACCCAGGCGCCCTTTAATTCTTATTTTAAAAATGTCTGAAACTTGGCAAATTGCCCTAAATCAAAACGAAAAATGAAATGCCTCTTTGATACCGTTCACAGAGTCGGTGAAACGTATCAGAGAGTCAAGGTCCTCTTTCTCCTTTGGAATGTTCTTTCAAAAAACAAATTTGCTCTTAACTGCAATTTTATTTCACATTCGGTGGCTGGTTTCCCATCTTCACTGCCTAGAGGTGAAAGTGTGAGAGGAAGAGAAGTGAAGGGTGGTCAACAGATCTAAATCAGTGATGGGGTGAGAATTCACACAAAACAGTGTCTGCTTGAGCTTCCTGGGTGGAGGTGCGGTTTCTACTATAGCTCATCGGGGGCTACACCGTCTGTACTGGTCTGGCTTAAAGAGGACTCCCAGGGACGTGCCTGTGGTGTCACGGTCCTTCCTTCCACCACACAATCATTCCTTTAACCTTTATATGTAGTCTTCTTTATCAAGCACTCATATAGTGCTCACTGTGGGTCAGGTCCTATATAACTGGTCCACGAATTTTAACTCATTTAATTCACAGAGCCACCCACTAGCTTGGTACTAAAACTATCTCCTTCTCACAGAAGAAGAAACAAAGGGCCATAGAGGTTAATTTGCCCAAGATTACACAGACGGTAAACAGTGGAGCTGAGTTACAGACCCAGGCTGTCTGGCTCCAGGTGCCATCCTGATGTCCCTGATGTCTGTTTCACAAAGTGGGCGTCACTCTCTGCGGAGCCTCAAGCGATGGCCTGCCTTGTCCGCACATTAACCCGAGTGTCCAGCCTCCAAGGTCTGTGCCCTTTCTACACACCACAGCTGCCTTCCCTTTGTCACCAGGTTTGATGAATGGAAACCATGAGGAAGTTATTCCGAGAAACTACTTCCATTAAGGATGATCACCCCTGAATTAGTTAAAACTCTGGCTGCATCTGTGGCTGATGCAATTTGAATTCAATAATCAATAAACCTTCTATAACATGGAAATCATAGTAAAAATTACCTCAAAGGGTTGTGATGAACATTAATTAAACTGCTTTTACTATTAAAAAAAATCAATTGCCTATGTCCAGCTGATCCATACCTTAAAGATAAAAATTGACGCCCAGGCGGCGCCTGGGTGGCTCAGTCAGTTAAGCGTCTGCCTTCGGCTCAGGTCATGATCCCAGGAGGATCGAGCCCCGCATCGGGCTCCCGGCTCAGCGGGAAGTCTGCTTCTCCCTCTCCTACTCCCCCTGCTTGTGTTCTCTCTCTCGCTGTGTCTCTGTCAAATAAATAAATAAAATCTTTAAAAAAAAATTTGACGCCCAGAAAACGTTAAGTCCAACCAGGTTACGGGCACTCTGCTAAAGCTCGGTTCTTCTCCAGTCTTTGCCAGCAGTTGAACTGGATTCCCATGGGATAAGGAGCCGTGCGAGGGGGGAAATATGTGTGTGGCAACCTCGAGCATAGGGAATCAGGGTTTGGATTGTCGTTTCCCGCACGGCTCCTTTCTGTTTCAGGCACCTGAGCAGGAGTGGGCTGCTGTCTACGATTACCGTTCCCATTTCAAAGGGTGTCTGACTGGTGTCTGATTGTGTGTGGGTTTGGTGGATTGACGCGATGACCACCCACACACAAATACATCCAAACCCATCTTCCTCCCGCCTCCCCCTCTGCACAGCATTGTCATTATTCCAACTGCAGTTGGAACTCCTACAGGTATCAGGGCAAGTGCTCGACTTGGCCTGAATTTAAATCATTTCAGATAAAGAATCATGTGCATGCTTTCAAAGGGGAGGAAGAACTCTTCTATTATTTTATGTTTCCTTTTATAGTTGCAAGATAATTTTTATCTTATCTTTATATTCCCTCCCCAAAAATCATCTGCAGGTTGAGTGGGATTTGTCTGCTGAGACACCTAACAGTGGGTGGGGTGGTGATGATCTGACGCTGGTGTCTGAGTGCCCTGGTCAGGCTCCTCTGCCACTTGCTGGCATTCTCTTTACCTT